ACCCACCCAACACAGGCCCCAAGGGCCCCAGATAGCTATTAATTATGACATCTCATGGTTGCAAGGAGCCCCACTTGGGGAGCTGACCCAGGCCTGCTCCTCAACATCCAGCAGCTGCCACTCTTCACTATGGAGGCAGCCGCTTCGCGTGGCAGCTTCCAGGAGGGCAATTACACAGCCCAGATGAGATGAGGCGGCTGAATGTTTGGGACTTGAGCGCTCAGACTGCCATTAGCACTATAAGCTATTACATTCCCTCTTCTGCTTTTTTTTTTTGCTCCCCTCCCTTCTTCCGTCTCCTCGCTCACTTGCTGCTGTATATTGATGAAGTGGTAATGGGACCTCTAGTTAGATATTCCTCCTGTAAAAACATTGTCTTGTTTCTAGTCTCCCCCAGGGGTCAATGTATTCTCCCGGAGTTGCTGGGAATCATTTCTGCTCTATTAATGATGCAATTCCAATGCAATTCAGATCTACTGAAGACGCTGCACAGTGGGCTTTTGTGTGGAGTTGATAGATGACGCTGTGTGTTATCCTGCAGCTTGACAACAAAGTGGTGCCTTCTGCACATCACCGGGAAGCTGGTTGGCCGTCACTCCAGTTTCCACCCTCTCACACTGCTCAGTTCATCCTTAAAACAAGGACAGAGGAGAAGTCTCCATTCTCCTCGCTTCACCTCACCAGCGGGGTCCTCTTGAGAAGAACATGTCCGTGCCTAATGATGGTCACATTAATTATAGGCTTATCAACCCCGGCAAAAATTCAATAGGGCTATTTATAGAGGCCTAAAATAGCAGAGGGCGAGGGTGCTGCACACCGGGGTGGCCTGTAACAGCCTGCTCTCACTCCACAGCCTGTCTTTTAGAGCTAGAGGTGGAGGCTGATATCCGTGTTGTTGTTTTTTTTTTTTTACTGTGCAGTTAAAACAACTAGCAAACATCTGTCCATCAGGACCTGTCATGGTGAGCGCTTTTATATAAAGCACGGTGGAGCGGAGGGCCTTCACCACAAACGCTGACATTGATGAGGTCTGGCAGCTTCCATTAAATCACTCTTTCCTGTAAAGTGCCGGGCATCATAGCAACCGGCCGAGGATTTTTCACTCAATCAGGTAACACACAAGCCACCACCCCCCCTTCACCCTCCTCCCTGTCCTCTCAGGGGCTGGAGCCTTCTGGTCAATAACTCCAATCAGTTCAATTTCATGCACAGTTAGCCATGTTGGGGTGCTAGGGCACTGTTCGCGTCGGGGTTGCATATGTTGTTGTCGCTGTTGTTGTTTTTCTTTAATTTTTTCTCTTCCCTGGGAGGGTTGATAAGTGGGGTGGGGACCTGTACTGTGTAAAAGTGGAGACTAGCCAGGGCTAGCATGGTTGTTTTAACTCTGCCGCACCAAAGCGGGCTCCCTGCCAAGCCATTAAAAGTCTCTGTGCTCTGCTTCAGTGACACAGCTAAAAGAATAGAGAGCAGGCGAGGGGGAGAGCTGTAAATGATCAACACGATAATGAGCTGATTATCAGTCAAAGGCATGGATAAGCTCTCTCTCCAGTAATTTCCTTTCAGATCAGTCAACCACATTCTCCTCTCTGCAATCAACACTCAAAGGGGAGGCCTAACATGTAGCCCAATGGGAATCCGGCCCAATATCAGCTTCAAATATCCAGATCCTCGTTGTTTCTGATCAGTTCCTGGCTCGTCCCTTGCTGACACAACAGCGTGGTGGGGAGGCTTGTGTATCACTACTCAAGTCTGCTTTTGTAAGGGTTGTTTCACAGTTGTCGTGCGGCTTTAGTCTCTGGCTGCAGGACAATATAAAACTGACTGATGCTCTAATGATGTTCAAATGTACTGTGCAATCTGCATTTCCTACTGTTTGGGCTCTACATTAGCTCAGCATTAGATTTTAAATTTCTCTTGCCTTTAAATTCCCATTAAATGGGGACTTTAACTTGTTGGAAAAATCAGTTCAATGATGACCTCATGCACTAGTAGGTGTGAGTCCAGCAAATGAAGCAATCACAATTTTTTAACAATCACACTCTTCAGTTTTCTTTCACTGTGCTATGTCCCACCACAACAACCTGTTTCTATGGGAATTAAATCATGTTAACACGAAGTAATGATACAAATTCATGTATCATTAAGTCTGTTTGAAGGTGGTCCCCGTTTACATCCAAACCAACTTAACAATGTAGGAATTTGTGCCAGTGCAACCGGAGGGAGACGGGGATACATTTCCTCATTAGTTAGCTATTTTGCATTAAAATATTGTGCAAATTCAAATCAATTTGCTTTTCCATCAACTACTGTTATGCAAATAGACTTGACGCGACAACAAGATTACATAATTAAGCGAGGACCAGTAACTTTGATGATGGCTTTTCATAGCTGATTACAATTTAAGATGGAATTTGTATTGTGCATGTGATCTATGCGTGCTGTTCATCAGCCACTGGGGATAAATGGGGTGACATGTAATAGGTAAGATTCACAGACAGATATTGCACTTTGTATTCTTAATATTTCAGGATTTCTGGTGGAGGCATGAACTGTAAGAGGAAGCAGGAGTAAGATCCACATGTTGTTGTTTTTTGCCTTTAATAGATACTTAATGTATTGTATTGGTGTATGTTTCACATAAGTTACATTTGTACAATCAGTGCTCATTTTCATAGTCCATACAATTATGTGGCATTGAGGTTATTGGGAAATCAAGTAATAAGTAACAGCTGGTAATTGTCACTTTCTGGATTTTATTTTTCAGAACAGAAGAGAGAGGATGCTACAAGTGAGAAGGAAATAAACAGTCTATACTAGACACTAGTACACCACCCCAGGGGAGTGATGTTAGACGAACACAAAACACCAAAACAGACGAAGGCAGCTTGCGTGTCCGCACTCACACGTGTGTCACAGACAGGCCGGCGGGCGGTGAGGTGACAGCTCTGAGGAACGGCCCCCGATGATAAGCATCAAACTCGATGACGTGCTGACACACTCCATAGGTTCTGATGTTAAACACGACAAGAATGTCCCCGACAGTATCTCTGCACCCTCTTCAGAGAGCTATCAAAGGGCAAGTTCAGTGAGCACACAAAATAAACCCTTCCACAGACACACACAGACACACACACACACCTCCTAACACATCTCACTGCAGCATCTTCGCACTGCATAGGAATCAGGGATGTGTCGCTGTCCCCAGGCGGCAAGTTTATCTAAAAAGGAAACACCTGATTTTTTTTTTCT